TAAAATTAATTATTTTATTTATTATTATTAAAGTTAACGACAGTAATAATCATCGTATACAGGGCGTCCCACGGGTTTGTCACACCGAAGGAATGTATATTAAATATTGAAGATGGGATATTTTACTGAAAGAACACATCATTTTATTTTTAATAATAACAAGAACTACATTCACAATATTTTTTTAAAATCGCCTACTACAACTGGGAATCAAACTCGTGAAATTTGAAAAAAAAACACATGGCATGATATGATAACCATCGAAAGGTTTACTTTCATAAGGATTATTTTTTCCTAAATAACATATTATTTGAAATGAAAGGAAGATCATGTATTTACAATTTTGTTCAGGAAAATTTCCTTTTACTTTTCTGTGCTCCCAACAGCTAACGAAAAGGAGATCATGAAATTAAAATTTAGTTTAGGAAAATTTTCTCTTACTTTTCCGTGCTTGAAACAGCTAATGTTATTATTGTAAAATATTTACTAACTAGTACCTGCTCACTGCTGAGGAGCTCGATGGCGCAAGTGGTTAGCGCGTTCGGCTGCGATCGTTGAAGTTAAGCAACTTTCGCAGTGTTCGGTCATTGGATGGGTGACCAAAAATTTAATAACATGAGCTCCTCCGTGCTTCGGAAGTCACGTTAAGCCGTTGGTCCCGGCTGCATCTACAGTCGTTAGCACCCACCAATCCGCACTGGGCCCGCGTGGTGGGTCCAATCTCCCTATTCCATCCATAGGGAAGGCCTGTGACCCAGCAGTGGGGACATTAATAGGCTGATGATGACCTGCTCACTTAATAATACAGGATTCACTTAATATAAGTACGTGAAACTTATACAAACCTAGCATCGTTTCTTTGTTATTTAGGAAATAATAATCCTAATGACCCTTTCGACGGTTATCATAAAATTAATGTCTTTTTTTTTATTTCACATTTCATGAGTTTGATAATTGGCAGGCGATTTTTGAAATATGCGAATGCAATTCTACATATTATTAAAAATAAAATGATGTCTTCTTTCAGTGAAATGTCCTATCTTCAATATATTACACCGTATTCCTGAGGATATACATTAACTTTGAATAATACTTCTATAGCTCTTGTTAAACATATCGTACAAAGAAAGTAGTAGTTTAAATAGCATAGTTTTTAAGTTATTGGTAATTTAAGTTTAACCAACTTAATTGTGTTGTGCAGTGAGAAAGAGTCTTTATCTGTGAGATGTTGCCACTTTGTGCAACCAAAACTACCAAACTATCAACTCTTTATCAATGGTCATTAAGTCATAGTTGCAAAAGTCAAAATTTAAAAAAAACATTGTTGACGTCAAGAAAAGTTTCAAAAAGTTTATGTGGGCATGCGAACCAAAGTTTCAAATGCGACGTTGCCAGCTCAGGTACGGAGTAATTCATATAAGATAAATTACATCTAAGCATTTAGTTTGTATGAAAATAAAAAATGTTAAAGAAATTGGAATTCATAAAAGTGTCCATAGTAAAAATGTTCAATTTAATAGTCTAAATAACATGCCAAAGTTAGTGTATAGCATCAGGAACACGGTGTATAATATACTTTCCCTCCATGTGATAAACTTGTGGGATGCCCTGTATCAACTTATGGAGTGCAAATAAAAATTAACTTTTCAATACCTCACGATCATTAAAATTAATAATCTTGTGTATATCTTAAATACAACTCATCTCAACATATCTCAACTCATCATATCTCATATAGATAATACGTCAGTAGATAATGTTCGCTGTCCGCGTAGTATAACTGAGATTTGTCGGTTCGTTTTGAGGTGATTGAAACTCTTTTCTCATATACCCATATTTCTTAATTTATGATTTGTTTCTTAGGTTTTCACGCACATCACTCATTAAATAAAACTAGTTTTTTTAATGCACGAAACGTCAATAAATAAATAAAGTTTCGTGCATTAACCCGTAAAAACTAGTTTTATTTAATTTATGATTTATAAAATTATTTTCCTTTTAAACTTTTTCTTATACATACACACATCAAAAGTGTCTAGGGATCAAGCATTTTTATGCGGATTTCTTGAGATTGAGATGTGGCTTTGTAATAAATTTATGATTTTATAAATTTATATGGATCCTTTTTGGTGCATTTCATAATTTGAATCAGGAACTGTGAATCAAATTCGAGTAAAAGATGAAAATCAGCTGTCAATATTTTCCCTATAAAAACATACAACGCATTGAAGACATTATTAGTGCTACTGTTTCCCTACTACTGATTAAAACCAACGTTATTATGGAGCGGCGACGTCATTTAAGCAGGGAAGAAATGCTCAGAGCCGTGGGAATGATAGAAGCTGGTTCCCGGCAACGTACTGTGGCTTTAGCTCTGAATACAAGTCAGAGTGTTATCAGTCGACTTTGGACACGATACCGAAGCACTGGTACCGTGGCTGAGCGCCATGGAGGACGGTATCGCTGCACCACACGGAGACAAGGCCGATACATTCAAATCTTAACTCGAAGAGCTCCAACAATAACCGCCATGATGTTAGCCGTGAGGCTTCATCACTCTTCAGGGAACTTAATTAGCGACCAAACAGTCAGAAACCGCTTGCATGAAGTGAACCTTCATTCCCGAAGACCGCTACGGGTACCACCTATAGCAATGCACAATCGTAGGATTCGATATCAATGGGCTCTTGAACACAGAAATTGGGCAGAAGAACAATGGCGTTTCGTGTGCTTTTCTGATGAGTCTCGTTTTGGTATGAGACCGGATACAAGACGTATACGACACTGGAGAACCCCTGGACGCCAACAGCGATTAAAATCCTGCCAGGAAGTCCATCCTTATAGTGGTGGAACCATCATGGTATGGGCGGGTATTTGGATCGGCGGAAGAACTGAGTTGATTGGGATCAGAGGCAACCTCAACGCTCAAATTTATGCTGAGACGATTGTATCAGACGTCATCGTTCCTCTACAAGTGCAAATCGGTCCCTTATTTCAGTTAATGCATGATAATGCACGACCGCACACCGCAAGAGTTGTAAGACAGACTCTCGCCGCAGCTAACATCAATGTCCTGCCCTGGCCTGCTCAGTCGCCAGACTTGAACCCGATTGAGCATGCATGGGATATGCTACAGAGAAGAGCTCTGCCGAATATGGAGGGTATCCAGTCGCAAGAAGACCTTTTTTTGTTGTTGCAACGAACATGGGCGGCCATTCCACAGCGTGATTTGGATGAACTCATTTTGAGTATGCCAAACCGATGTTCTTGTGTTGTTAGTGTTCGCGGTAGAAATACGGATTATTAATTGTTTAAGTTACCCAATAAAATTTTAGAGAAAACTGTTATTTCAGTTTTTTTTTCGAACTTTTGTGTTAGTGGTTCAAATGTCAAAAATCCCTTTATTAGGAAAATGGCAAATTTCTTTATTAATGCAAAGGTGACTTGGTTTATCGTTACTGTGACAAACGAAAACACTTTATTTGATGAATCCTTAAAGAAAATTTTAATTAATATCAATCAGGAGAAAAGTTATTGCAAAAATATATGTTGATCCCTAGACACTTTTGATGTGTGTATATCTAAGGTGCTGTATTTTCCAGAATCGCAATTCTACTGAAAAAAATATTAGTCACTGTCAGTGTAAAGCTATGCAAAGTCGAATTCTATAAAAAATAATGAAATTGAATGTAAATGGTAATCTGTGTCTCAAAGACTATCTATGTTTGAGCTACATTCATGTTATCTGTCGATCGGATCTCCTTCTCTTGATCATCGGTGTGCAAGATGGACGTATGGATGGCTAGTTGATTATATTAATTAGATAATAAAGTAGTACAAGTTGATTAATAAATACATTTGGATTATAAATTAACTGTTTCAAATCGTCAATTAACAAATATATTACATGCACTAGATTAACTAGATTATTAATTTTTTGGACAACATAGGTACATGTATTAACATACAAAAACTTTCTATGTTAATTAATTATATGATTGCAGTATTTTAATTATAATTGTTATATCAGTATATAATAACGCCGTTAGCATTTAATGTGCACACTATAAGTTTCTGTAATTAGCCTGGTAATTGTATTAAAATTATATTGTACTGAATGCACAAAAATCTTTGTAGAAAGAATAGAATAGAATAGAATAATCTTTATTTGCATTAAATGGGGTTGACAAAAGTTTTTTTCATATAAAGCATATTATGTTAAAATCTAAGAATCTTAAACCTATTTAGCCATATTAATAGCATGCAAAAAATTGTAATGTATTAAAACATAACAGTCATATTAAATTTACCAATCTTTCATTTAATAACAAGTGTTTTATTATTATAATTTAAATTCAGATTTATGTCAATATTAATTACCATTCCCAATGTCAGTTCAAAATAAAAATATTTTATGTCAATTAAGTGTGTGATACACCTATAATAACAATAATTTTCAGTATGATAATTTAAGAGTATTATTCAATTCAATGTCAATATTAATTACGATTCCTGATGTCAATTCAAAAGTTATATCCATGTCAATATATTATATGCATTCCAATAAAATTAATCCAAAATCGACATTCATTTTAATATTCAGGACTTATATTTTAAAAATTCCTCTATACAGGGTGTTACAAAAATAAAAATAAAGCTTGAAGGGCGTTGAAGTATATCATATACGGAGTCTTCTCTAATTATCTTAATATATTTGCATGAAGTTTTAACTTTTTATAAAAACAGTTATTTTTAATAATATTTGAACTGGTGACGTGTCTTAAAATGATCGATATTTTTATTAAACATTAAAAATAACTGTTTTTATAAAAAGTTAAAACTTCATGCAAATATTTTAAGTAAATTACAGAGCACTCCTTATTTGATGTACTTCAACGCCCTTCAAGCTTTATTTGTATGTTTGTAACATTCTGTATAATAAAAGCATTTATCCAATAGAAACTAGAAACTTTGTTACAGATAAATAAATGTCCTGCAAAATCCGAATTCATCGACACGCTACATTTCAAGTGCATTGTCACGATATATAAAAGGTTAGCGCACACGGAGGCAGCATACTTAGCGAGTGCGCGTGCGACGCGCTTCCTGATCGCCAAGGTGAAGTGCGAATATCGATATCGGTGTCGAAAACAAACACGAATAACGAGGAATGATTTAAAAATAAAAACTTTGCGAAAATCCTTTGTACGGCACGCGTGATCTCAAGTATAAAATCTAAAATCCAAAATTGTTTGACAACAAATAGCTTTTCATTTTAAATGTGTTTAAATTAAAGTCCGCAACAAACCAGGTGAATGACAAAAGGAACTTTTTTTTTTAAGAGAAAAAATTGCATTTTTTTTTAATTTTGAGTGGTTTTGGAGTGAGTGACAATGGTTGAGAGTGCAGAAAAAGAAATTGTTCCAAAGCCTGGTAAGTTATGTTATTTAAAACACTGGTATTCCTTAAGTTTTTCAAGTAATAGGGATGATGACGGGGTACAGTAAACGAAATTCTATTTAGCCCGTCAGTAAGGTGATCAAAAAATAATGGACACGTCTTTTTTCTTTGGGCAATCAACCAAAAAATGACAAAGTTATAGCGCATCAAAATTTGGGAGTAGGGGCCCGTGAGGTCACTTTTGAGTGAATTTTCACTTAAAAGTGTACTCAAACGTGACGTCATGCGACTTTTCAAATCAATATATCTCTGCAATGTTTATATTATGTGTAAAAAGAAAAAATACGTGTCCAATACTTTTTGATAATCTACCTGATAAACGAAGAAAAAAAATAGTCATCATCCCTATTATTATATATTTTCACGCTAAATATTTCTTTTTAAAGCTGTTCTTAAACTCGTTGTTCAATAAACTTTATATTTAGTTCTATCTTCCAAAAACCGGATTTCTTAATCCAAAGGAATTTTAACTTTCAACGGCCACTAACCTACGCTCACATTTCAATGTCAGAATTAAAGTCTGATACAACTTTTACATTGAAAACTATGCACTATGCAGCGATATATTATGTATATGTATACAAACATACTTAGTTTGTTTATTAACTTCTCAAAGAGAATTAAGACTTTTAACATATCGACCTATCCATAGAATAAAGCTACTTCTGCATAATCACAACTTTACAGTTGAGCGATTTTAAGTTTGTAAAATATGCTGTAACTTGTATTGGTATTTTTCTATCATTTGATTTTTTTTATTAATCATATAAAGCATTAAGAAGCAAATTATGACGTATTTATTGTTTAAAAAAAAACTACATTTACGGCTTATATTTCGTTATTTAAGAGTTTCTTATGTGATTATGTGACAATTTACTACGGACATCTTTATGTTGCATATGCATATCAGACCTTATACTTGGGAAACGTGTCAAATTATTTGTAGATATAACTTTGTTTTACGTAGTTTATATTTTCTGTCGCGTCACATTATGATAATATGGCAAAGATTGGGCAAAATCGATCAAACAAGAAAAATAGAATCAAACATATAGTAAAAATTCTCCGTCTATAACAAAATTGAAGCCGTGCAGGCTGCGTTCTTGCCTATCCAAAAGGTTCTTGTGCTCTTGGCTCTATATTCTTCGGAAACGAAAACCACATGTACCTTTATTCAATTGCTATCTTCAAAGTTATATAAGTTTCAGAATAAAAGTTTTTACCAGTAAAACATATGCGTCCGTTTCGCCTAAAAGTACAATAAAAGCAATTTGGTAACATTTTCTTAAGTAACTTTATTCTATGCATAGGAATATTTCCTAAAGAGACTTAAAACATATGAAGACGAGAAAGCAAAGAACAATTGAAATAAAAACATTGTCTAAAAATATCGCATAAATTTCAAATGTCATGTCTAATGAAGAAGCACATTTGAATAACGTCAAAAAAACGTAAGAGTGACATAAACATCCTTCTATGGCTTTCCGGTAACCATTGTTTGTACAACTAAAAAATAATTAAAGTTCTTGTGCTCATTAACAAATTATAAACGCTAAATGGGTTAAATAGGTTTCTTGTAAACACGGGTAAAAATCCGATTGGATTTTATAGTCAAATGCTGGCGGCCATCAGAAACAATTAAATTTATAATTTTTATTATTTTAAAGCATGTAAATGCTTGATGTTTAAATCTAAAGAAAATAAAACTAGAATAAAATCCACGCCGACCAGGCAGCAGACGAGACTCGAACCAGCACCCTTCGCAATCCGGGCGAATGCACTGACCAATTATGCTACCACGGCCCTCGCGGACCGCGTCGAAATTCCTCTAGCCATTCTTAAGCTGCAAGGCAGCGCCATCTCTTCGCATTATAGGTAAACCACAATGTCAAATGGTCAGTGCCTGGTCCGCGTGGAATTTTTTCTAGTTATATTTTCTTTACAATTAAATTTCCTTACATAGTCAAAGAGATGACTTCTCTGTCTGATTCAATATTCCTTAGTGCTAAACCGATTTTTTTCAAATACTCTTAATTCGAAAAATATTTTCTTTTGGAAACTACATATTATGATTTTATTTATTTTTAAGCATTTAACTACTAGATGTTTAAATCTAAAGAAAAGTTTACTAGAAAAAAAAATCCACGCGGACCAGGCAGTGGACGGTACTCGAACCCGCACCTTTCGCAATCCGGGTGAATGCACTGACCATTATGCTCATTGCGTGGTAGCATAATGGTCAGTGCATTCACCCGGATTGCGAAAGGTGCGGGTTCGAGTACCGTCCACTGCCTGGTCCGCGTGGATTTTTTTCTAGTAAACTTTTCTTTAGATTTAAACTAAATATTAAGAATTATTAACCCTATAATTTTCTGCGTATACAAAGGTCAAGATGTACATAAACCCATTCTAGTAAAAAAAATAACGTGTTTAAATTAACTCTAGTTTTTTCGCCAATTCTCGGCTTCAGGCCTCCTTGGGATCTCCTCGTCCTCAAACCCGGTGACGCTGTAAAGGTCATAATGTCAATTTAGTTAGTTTACGGCCCCCGAGCTACCATCACCCAGCTCGGAGGAAGAACTTCCCCTTTGGCCTTCCTTCAAGATAATAAGTACTTGGTCACCCATCTAATGACCGGCCAATGTGAAACTTCTACGATCGCAGGCTAAACGCGCTAACCACTTGCGCCATCGAGCTCCTCCATTCCCCAGACCCGGAATCCAATGTGCCCACCCTCTCTTTGTTCTAAGAAAACTTAAATGTAGGTATCATGAGAGATAAATTGCATAATCATTATTTGAATTCTGTTAGTAACGCCGCAAACGGGCCACACGCCACAGCCACAAACGCCACCACGAGAAGCTAAAAGCTAAAGTGGCTGAAGCGCGCGACAGCGGCCGACTAAGGTAAGGGAGAGAGGGGTGGTGAATCGCGCGAGTGACGTGTGGCGGCGTTTTGTATCGGCGCATTAAGTGGCCGGTGCGGGCCACAAGAAGCGAGCAACGACGATTTGTAGCGTGTGGCGGCCACCGGCGTACCGTGTGTGGCGAGTCCATATAAAATGTATGAAAACTACAAGAAATATGTCGGTGGCGGCGTTTTGTGGTTGTGGTTGATGTCCCGTGTGCGGCGACACTTAAATATTGAATAATTAGTATTATTAATCATCATCATCATCAGTCTATTAATGTCCCCACTGCTGGGGCACAGGCCTTCCCTATGAATGGAATAGGGAGATTGGGCCATGACCCACCACGCGGGCCCATTGCGGATTGGTGGGTGCTAACGACTGCAAATGCAGCCGGGACCAACGGCTTAACGTGCCTTCCGAAGCACGGAGGAGCTCGAGATAGTAAATTTTTGGTCACCCATCCAATGACCGACCACTGCGAAAGTTGCTTAACTTCAACGATCCCAGCCGAACGCGCTAGCCACCTGCGCCATCGAGCTCCTTCGACTATTATTAATAGCTGTAGTGAATTATAAAGTAATTAATAGCTATAGTAAATCTTCCTACAATAAATAAACAATTATTTGATATACCACGGTAATCATGTACCTACATATGCAGACATAATAATAAATCAATTTGCCTAAGATTTATCGTTGATCGAAATGCTCTAATTGGATTGAGTGTTTGTTGTCTGTGTAAACAATGGACATTATCACGTTGTCAAACACAAGTTCTAGCAATCGGTTTCATAGCAGACGCAATGATAATAACGATTTGATATAGGTACTCTGCTATCTAGAATAACTGACTTCACTTCATCAAATTATTTAACAATAAAATTATATTGTTTTAAACTTTCATGGTCACGAACATTATAGATACTAACGGGATTGTTACCATGAACCTTGTTTTTTATGAGTCTCCGATATTTCGGCACTGTTGCAAGCGCCACGATCACGGAGTAACTGAAGTAATTGCGGGTAGATGTTATTGGCAGACATATCGGTCTACCCTCTGACGTCGTCTTTTACTGCGTTCGATACTACCACTACCACTGGTCACATTCTCACTATTCACTCGCATTTGTTCCCGGCACACAATATCGGAGACTCATAAAAAACAAAGTACATGGTAACAATCCCGTTAGTATCTATAACAATAAAATTGTAGATTACCCAGAACTCAAATAAAAACATTAGTTCCACCTCTTCGCACAACGGTATTGGGTTCAAGTTCGTTTGTCCGTAGAGTAAGTAGACTTCTAAATTCTTTGGATCAGTCTATTGATATTTATGCTGTTAGTCTGTACTTACTCGATGTCTTGGATAGGTTGCAGCGGCGCGCTGCCCGCATCATTGGCGATGAAGAGGTAACTAAGAAACTCGAGTCTCTACAATTACGCCGTGATGTGGCATCATTAAGCGCATTCTACCGACTATACCACGGCGAGTGTTCTGAGGAGCTATTCTCGCTTATCCCTCCATCACCTTTTCTTCAGAGGACCACGCGCGCTGGCCTACGTTGCCACCGACTTACTGTGGCCACTATTCCTTCACGAACAAAGAAATTTGGCGACTCATTTCTTTGTCGTACTATTCGAAAGTGGAATTCTTTGCCCGCGCACGTGTTCCCTCCTTCCTATAATCTGGGGTCCTTTAAGAGAGGCGTGAAGAAGCATTTTTGCGGGCCGGCAAGGTGAGGATGGTTGGTGTAGCAGTTTATAACTGCTGTACCAACTATCTTCGCGTTTGGACTTTATCACCACTTAACATAAGGTGGGGTAGAGTCATTTGCCTACCTAATCATATAAAAAAAAAAGTCTCAATGCATTTCGTCAGCACTTGCAATTGACCACGTTGTAGTATGTAGATATTATGTAGCTTTAGAAATTGGCAGAATTTTGTAAATGACTTATTTTAATGTTACTGGTAATTATTAACTTTGCATGTGGTGTTTACCTTAAATAATTTGTGCTTTTAGCTATAGTACTTTCGCTGTAATATTTACATTGTATTAATGT